GCTTTTATGTCTTTGTCCTTTAAGGGCGACAATATTTTAAATACTATGAAACGACAACTGCGTTCAACCATTGAAAAGACATACAATGCAGCGGAATTCGTATTGTGCAGTCCTACCAAGCCTCTTCCAATTCTACGGGCGAGGGATGTCTTGCCAGTGCACGATACTCCAAATTTTGCTTATGAATTCAAATGCGATTGCTGATGCAAGTACAATGGTAGAGGGGCGCTCACCGATTGTTCTTACGGAACTCACTCGTTCTGTTGTGCCTCATGGGCTCTCTCGAGTCCCACCAACAGCCGCACAGCGGCGCATGATATAGACAGAAGGTTATTACCCTTGTATATTTTCGATCGACACCGACAGGACAACGGGCCCGTGGCCCAGCGGTTAGAGACATTTGACTTCTAACTAGCATGTCGCGAGTTCGAGCCTCAGGTGTTCTACACTTCGGGGTTGGGTATGACTGGCTGACAACGGCTAATAAGCCAGAAATGGTCATTCCAGTCTCCCTTGTCTTTGTCGGTAATAAGATTCTGCTGATGCAAGTACATTAGGCGAACGCAAAGGCAGTTGACAGTTGGGTCTATTGAGCACCTGCCCAGTTGGCTCTTCAAGCAAGAAAATAAAATCTCGCGTTCCTTCATTACAAAACACCTACTTAATAGTGGACACTCCGTCGAACCTAAAACTTCCTTCCGAGGACTTGTTCGGGCATGAATAACTCGGACATCGCGTTACTTGGAGGCGGCCTATATACGGTAGGTGAAATCAGATATTTGTAAACTGTTAGAACATGTAGTTAGCCTAACCTTGTCATGGTAGCCTTTAGCTCCATAATTTCACTTCCCATTTCTTTGTGCACGTTAACGCTTTTTTCCGCTGAGGTACTAATTTTATCTATTAGCCGGCTTTACGCAAAACCATGACCCTGTTGATTCTGCATTTATTTCGTACACGAATTAAATCTTTGGACTGTTATAGAGTTGTGAAAATGCACATACGAATATTCAGAAGACGAGGCGACGAGCAAACGTTGCTTTCGATAACTTTTCTTCGGGCCGGGGTACTGTGATTGAAAAAATCGATAAAAGTTACTTTTAAAAACGCAGGCTAGGTAAGAGCGGAAGGGCGCAGAAATTTGTACGTGGTTAGTCAACTTTTGACCACAGTAGCGCGAAGCCTGAACGAGGTTCTTCTGGGCGCAAAGGGTCGGTTTTCGTAACCTGATGGCGGCTGCTTCTGCTGTTGTTAACAGGCGCTGGC